TTTTTTATGATCAACTCTCTCATCTCTTTCTCTCTTTCTTGCTCTTCTAGTCTTTGACTATTAATAAAAGCTCTTGTTCTAAAGTGATGGAGTACTTAACTCTAACCAATCATGTCCATCAGTCAGTTGAGCTCTGGAGACAGTCTGACTCAATGTCAAGTCAGCATAAAGGTATGAACCAATACTTCCTAGGCCTGACACCATGTACATGTACTAGTATACTATCCCTTAAAGATGGCTCCAATTTTTAAAAAATTCTATGGCATATTATGATGCTTTATTCTTTGTATAAATTTTTAGCTATTTCAAATCATTTGGGCTTATATTTAGCATTTTTTAATTGATTGCTTTCATATTGGCAGTTTTAATGTTTTACGGCATGAGCAAAACGAAATGGTTAAATTTTTAAAATTTACCATATAAGTTTCTCTTCTACATGTATTTGTAAATGTGGCTGTACAAGTGTACATGTATAATTTAAAAAACCAAACCTGTGTCATTATTCATTTGATTATTCCTGTTGAGCTCACTTGGATAATGTGTTTTTACTTTTTAATACACAAGTGGTACATTTGTATGTCTTCTCCATTTTGTTGTCCTTTACTTCAACAAGCGTTATGCTTCTATAGTCCTGAAACCAGCTTATTTGCACAGTAGTTGTGTCCCACATGTACTTAAGGCTGGTTTAGTTATGATATTATGCTAGTCCTGACATTACGTTGACACTGGAATAGAATCTGGTTCTATTCTAGCGGAAAGCATGCGTCAAAAGGTCAAATCGCCCACGCTTTTGATTAAAAATTGACATTACATTGGCCTATAGTTGCCTTTAGTTGTATCAAAAGTAGCACTGTGTATATACATGTACATGTACATGTACTTGTATTCATTACGTAATGTCACTCAAGCCTTCCAATATTCAATTTAATTCCAATGGCTCCAAAGAGCAAGGGTAGACGTGCCAAATTTGATTCTGCCGTGACTATTGTTAGTCTTAAAGTTGATTCCGCTCGTTATAAATGGAAGGGCGGGAAGCCAAATTGGGTCACCAGGCTTACGCAGGCTTAGCAATACGCTCGATAATTGAGCTGTTTACTCGTGTTAAAAATGAATATTTATAAATTTGTTTATTGTTGTGTATATTACTGTGTGTGTGTGTGTTTGTGAGAGAGAGAGAGAGAAAGGTCAGGGATTGAGGGGGAGGTCCTTAAAAGACGAGTTTAAAAAGGAATTAGGCGTAGGAAGAATAAACGTGACGATACCATGACAACGTTGGTAGTGATTCCAGTTATTGGGTCTAATTGATGTGTAATGAATTATATTTTGAATTCAAATTATCATTAATTAAAATGTTGACTGTAAAGCTAATTTGTGAAAATGCCTCTCCCAGCATCAGGCATTCATTATTTACGGTTGATCTGTAAATAAACAACAGGCAGTTACCCTTAGTGACGTCAGCAAGATGGACTTATTGTATGTGTGAAATATTTGTTTGTGTCACTTACATGTATATACTGTGCATGAATATGTTTTCTTGATTAAAGTATTGTGACCTTGCCTAAAGAAGAGAGAGTAAAAGAGGGGAAAGGGTGAGAGTAGTAGGGAGTGGGAGAGAGAGAGGGAGGGAGAGAGAGAGAGAGAGAGAGGGAGAGAGAGAAAAGGAGAGAGAGAGAGAGAGAGAGAAAAGGAGAGAGAGAGAGGGGGGGGGAGAGTGAAGAACGATATTGCTTGCCCTACACATCTAAACAATGCATGCCACTCACAATTCAAAATTGTGACAGTCAGTGTGCAGCTGTTGCTGAAGGAAAGAGAGAGACCACTTTTCTGGTTTCCTTTCCTCAAGCAATTGAATTACTGCATGATCTTACAATTACATTATTTTGCTGCCCAGCATACAACCAGCATAGACTTGTATCTTAATATTGTATTACCACTTTCAAAGAATTATTATCTCACCCTGCGATTGACACTAAGTGTTTTGTGTTTGAGATATGCACATGTGTGTATGGCCATTTTAGTAAATTGTGTACACTGCCCTGGGCATGGGAAACTTAATTAGGAATCTTGAATTTCATTTGGTTTAGTAAACATGGATGTACAATGTGATGGCAAGCACTCATATCTTATTATTGGAATGAGAATTTAATACTCGTCATCAGTATAATGTAATGTATTGGATTTCCATTCTACTATACTAGTATATTTGTATCATAGCCCATCCAATGTACAATGTTTACACAGAGTACTTTATACATGTACTAGCTTAGGTCCTATCCTCATAATACTTGGTAGAGTTGGCATAATTCATGGTGAGATTATACAGAGCGTATGAAAGTAGGGATGGGAGGGCCGCAGGTGTGTTTGATGTGTTATGAGTATATTTATATATTAATGTGGTTGATTCCTTTTGAAGTGGATCCACAGTTTTTGATTGTGGGAGGGAAGAGGCTTGTGTATGTGCATGCTCATAGCCAGTTTGTCTAGTGTTTTTATTAAAGTGCCAAATTGTCTGGAGTTTTTATTGAAATCCCTGTGAGAATGCTTGCAGCTGGTTTCTTTAATGTGTTTTAGGAGGCTATTATGAATTTGTCATGTAACATCTTTGTGGGAAATGTCAAAAGACTTAATCTCTCTCTCTCCCTCCTCCTCCTCCTCCTCTCTCTCTCTCCTCTCTATTTTATGCACCACAGATTTTTTTAGTAACATTACCAGGAAGATGGGAGATATTACACAGTTCAGGTAAGAAAAGAAATGAGCAAGAAGCCAGAGAGAGAGAGAGAGAGAGAGAGAGAGAGAGTGAGATTAAATAATGTGAGATTAAGTTAAGAGAGGACACTACACCCAACTCTTGTCGATAGTCAGACGTCAGAGTGTCGGCCAGAGTTGGTTACTAGAGAGAGAGAGTTGAGATGCTGTTCGAAATTGTCAATGAGATATTTAAAATTAGTGATGCCCTCTTTCTTTTCCACCTTCTCGATTCTTTTATATCTATAATAGCTCATTAACAATATTCACAGAATGGATGGAGAACGGATTACAACACATTAGCAGAAATGTGTAAAGATTATTAATTATTTATTAATATAATTTGAGAAATGTAATATCGCACCTGCTCTTGCATCAGTCAGTATTATTATTATTATTATTATTATTCTTATTATTACTAGTAAATGATAATGTATTATAAATGTGGTAATAGTGTTGTTATAATTTTTGTTATATATAGAAGAGAGAGAGGCACCATGATGTGTGCAGCTGTCATGAGATTTAATCATTATTTCTTATCAAATTGAATTAATTATCACCTCTCCTCATATTATTATTATTATTATTATTATTATTATTATTATTATTATTGTTATTATTATTATAAATGCAGACTTTTAACAGCACTAAGAGGATTGTATCTACAGTGATTAATTAACAATTGTTATATAATGTATAGAAAGGACTTCATCATCGATTTTTGTAATATTTTCTGGTTTATGCAATGAAAATTTATTAGTAAAATTAATTAAATTACCAATTTGTGGTGGGTGTGGTCGAGGTGGTTTAGCCCCACCCACTCATTAAAAGCCTAGTATTGGTGTTTGTGTATCCTCCCTCAACCCTCCCTTATAGTTCTGACTATAAAGACCTCTGGAAGAGAGGACCCAACTCCTCCGCCATGCAGGCTGTCGTCTCTCGCTACCACCACACAAACAGAGTAGAGGAAGCGAGCCTAAGATCACTGGGCGGCAGTATAGGTGGCGGTATACCCTACTCGAACCAGTCCCAGTTTCCTTCTTCTACCCTATCCGAGAGTCTAGCCGCTTTTAGGGAGCACCACAAGGCCTGTGCCTCTCGTCGTAGACCCGCCTATATATTCGAGGCTAGCCTGGAAGCCGAGAGAACAGAGATACTTGCTAAGAGATACACAGAGACACTCAAGCAAGAGCTACAAGGAACTACAAGTTGTCCTGGACTGGTCCCAAATAATCCAAACCCCCAGCCCTCTTCTCTGAACGCCTCCTCCTCTCATCACAGAGCCAGAGAGATAACAGAGAACTCTCTGCGGGGCCTACCGTCTTCGGCAGCCATTGTTACATCATCGGTTCCTCCCCCTTTACTCTCATTTAAATCCACTCCAGCAGGAGCTGAAGGACTTACAATATCTACTGTATCAACTCTGGCAACCACCTCTTTCCCACCCTCCTCATCCATACAACCAGCAGCAGACTGTAAAGCAGAAATCATGGTAAGCTTCACAAGTGCATTCATGTACATGTACATGTACATGTATGTCACTTCTAACATGTACATGTACATATATTCTGCTCTTTACACGTGTACATGTATAATTTGAAATCATTTATGTATTCATTGGTGTCTGTACCAGTACTGAATACATTTTTGGTACCATGAATTCATTTTGTGCTGTCTATGTTTGTTTATTCCAGCACAATGATGTGTTTTGCTTGAATTGATGATACCATTCACGATTACTATACATTTTAATGCATTTATTATGCATATATGTTTTTGCCCCTGGCTGTTTTTCATTTTTTGGCACCTGCTAGTTTTACCTCCAAAATCCCTCACCCACACTTTCTAAGTGAGTGCTCTCTTGTTATGTCTGCATGTAATCTCTTTGTGTATTGTAAGTGATAATGAGGAAACTACCTATTAACAAATTGTGGGTCTAAGTTTCTCTGGAAATAAGGAGAGAGGGAGAGGGTGAGAGAGTGTGTGTGTGTGTGTGTGTGTGTGTGTGTGTGTGTGTGTATGAGAGAGAGAGAGAGAGAGAGAATGTCTGAGACATATATTTTTGTTTGTGCATCTACTGTACTGTAATGCGATAAGGTCATAGGTTTAAAATAGCTACAATCTATACATGTACATGTGCATGCATTGATACGGCTTCTTCTTTGTTCAGCTTACATGTACATGCACAAAATGGCACATGTACATGTATTGCATATTAAATAAATTGTTCACACTGGAAGCATTTGGTTCATTTACTACTACTATTACTATGTGAATTATTGTGCATGTTTCTGAGATGTTTTTGTCCTACTGCGTCTTAGCAGTCTCTTTGTCACAATGTCACCTTCAATTTTATATAACCCAGTTCCTTCTCCTTGGCACGCAGTACTTATATAGTCTTACATGTCTTGTGTGTGTCCACCAGATTTCCTTGGAGGACACGTGCTTGGTGCATGACACTTTTATTGAATTAAAAGTCATTAATTTGCTTTATGTTGCACATTCAGCCATTGAGAGACATATTTGGTGATGATTGTCTTCATTCAGGACTGGCTGTTTTGACTTGCTCAATAAAAGAATTACCTTTTTAGCTCAATGATTACATGTGAACCTTCCTCTCTTCATAATAAAAATCAAAGTTTATATTTTTGCATTAGTAATGTATGTTTCTATCATTATTATTATTATTTCACTATGTATATAAAGTTAGTTAGTGTTTTTCCCTTTCAGTTGATCTTGTTCAGTTAGTATACTCATTTCTATACTGAAAATATATACAATTGGTTGTATTGATATCCCTATGTTTATAGTGTAGCATTAATATTGTAAATTAAAGACATATTGGCTTTTACCATTTCTTAATGCTTTGCTCTGGGTGTGTGTGACACAGATAAAGGACAACATGTGTTTAATGATGTCGTGCTTTTTGGCAGGTTTGTTTTGTGTTTGCTGGCTATGAATCACTCTGGTTATTTTTCCTCCACTCTCTCTCTCACTCTCTCTCTCTCTCTCTCTCTCTCTCCCTCTCCCTCTCTCTCTGTTATTGTGTCAGCCATGCATTACATAACCTCTGTTATGTCTTAAACTCTTAATAAAGCAGGATCTATATCACTCTCTCAGTTTCTTAATACTTTGCTTCATTGCTATAGTGTCATTTCATAGTTACTCACACACACACACACACACACACACACACACATGTATGCTGCATGTAGGCACACACATCATCAATGAACAAGTGTTTAATAATTGAATTTTGTGGTGATGGTGTTCTCAGATGTCAATAATAAAATTACAACTTGTATATAGTTCACCCACATCACATCATGTGTATTTAGCTTTTTTTAATGTTATACCAAAAACTTAAAAGGAAGTTTACAGCATTCATGTACATGTACCTTCTGGATTATGGTTTAAGACAGTTGGTATTAATTATAAAATTACCTGCTACAGTGGCATAATTTATTAATGTGTTGTTGCTTGGTCTTGAAAACAAAGTACCTTTGATTTACGAAATTTATTATAATTCAATTCAGTATATCCTTATTGTATTACTTTAAACTTATGGCTATAGGCATATTGCAGTGAATACCTCATTTTAAGTGTTATCTTATAGTCAGAATAACTTTTCTATGTTCATTGTATGAATTTGCTACTCATTGAATGCTTAATGTAATAAACAAGAAACAATAATGATTATGCTACGTGTATCAGTCGTAATGCAGTGATAATTAGTGAAGTAATTGTGAATGTATGTTTGTAAAATTATTGGTTGTTTCTTCTCTTTGTAACAATTAAAAAACGGAACCTCCATTCTCTCTTGGCTTCTCAGGGTGACCACCACTTAGAAACCAGGGAAATGTATAGCCAGAGAGTCGGGGAGAGATCTTATTGTGTGTGAGAACCAATCCTAACATAAACCATAGATAAAACCACTTCTGTATGTACAGTAGATATTATACTATTATTATTAATGAGTGTATATAGCCCTTAATCAAAGACACCGCTATCAAGCGTTGAGATCAAAGGAAAGCTAGCGGTAAGAGAGTGTTTTGTGTATCCAGGAACTCTATTCCACTGGGTCCTCCCTATTTGTGTTGCTATAGGTGAGGACAATGAGATCAGGGCCCATTATGTATATGTTGTTTTTGTCGATCTGCGATGTATTTTTGGTTGGCCATCCCAAAACTATTCACACTCCTACTATCATTTCTAATGTTCGCTTCGCGTGCCACACCTTTGAAGATTCCCGAGATCACCGATAAACAACAGCAGGTGTCATCCTGGCGCTGTTAGCCTATGCTACGATACAGTAGTATCTGTAATGTCTTGTGTATACATGTACATGTATGTGTGTATGTGTAATATGCCTTGGTGAAACTTAAGTACTGTATTGAGCATGTTGTGTGTGCATTAAATGTACTTTGTGGTTTGGGGTCCATTTTTTATACAACATTACATAATCGTTACTGGTTAGCTCAGACAGTTCTTCCTGTGGTGGTGTGTTTAGTTATTTTATGATAATAAAGAGATAATGGCTGGTTGAAGGCTTAAGACTGATATCACTAAGTGGCTGTATGATATCGTGCTGCATTCCTATAGCATTTCCTCTCTTCTCCTAGCAATGGCTGTTGATCTAATGTCTCATTACTATAATGTCACTTTGATCTGTTTTCATATCTAGTCTATCATTAGTTATGCTCAAAGAGGTTGATGGCTAATTGGGTCAATGGTATCATGAATAGGTTAGAACAGGACAAGATTATATCTATCTTCATTCTTTTACATGATCTTATGTCCAATATTTGTGATAGCATGAAAGCCTTTTAATTCAGCAGTTATTTGTCACTACCTCAACGGATAACTATGTGACTTAATCTGTGAATTTTTAACCAATATGATCTACATTGACTTTACACGCTCTTTATATGTAATATTATGCTTATATGCTGAGGGTTAGTTAGTGAATGCTCATAGAACCAAGTCCCAGTAAACCTGTACATGTACATGTAGATCAAAGTGGGCTACAAAATAGCCTTCACTGCTAAGTTGTCTAGTGGATGTTGTTAAGAGCTTCACTGGGTCCATGAGCTCTATATTTGTATATGTACATGCACACAGCACACTTGCTCATTGTACACGTGCACGTGTGCATGTGGTCATGATCCACATAGTACAAACTTGCACATGATTCACCATTATATGTACACATTATGGTCTGTCTTGTTTTTATATGTACATGTACATGTACATGTACACGTACGTGTATGTTTTTTTAATTCCCTGTTTTTATTGCACATGTGCATGTACATTTCTTAGTGTATGCATGTACATACATTTTTTAATAAAATGAATGGACTTGAAATCCTTGATAATTTTATAGTTCTAATAATGTACATACATGTACATGTACATGCATAATTATAGACACGAGGAATTACCATACATTTGTATTCCTGATTAGATTATCATTCTACTGCCCATTTTTAGGATGACAGTTTAGTAATTGTTTTAATGTTTCTTCCTAATGACTTGTTGTTACTTTATTTGGACTTAAATGTGTCTCATCATTACATCATTACATGTACATGTACATGTACATGTACATGTACATAATAATGTACATTTGTTTATACATGTATACATGTACATGCTGAACTTTATGGTACATTTGCTTTTAACTAATCTTTTTTAATCTAGTGCTTACCATGGTTTATTTTCCTCTCTCTTTTTCCTTCTCTATACCCTTTCTCTTCTTCTCTCTCCTCTTCCTGTTTCTTTTGCATGTTCATCGATCATCCATTTCATTCTAGTGTAATTTCTTTCATATCAGCCCCATCCAACACATACAGTTGGTACTCTACATTAAAGCCTGCATGACATTAATTTTAATAAGTAGCTCTCGTTTCTAAGCATATCATTATTATCATTATTATTTAGTTCATGTATAATTTGTGACCATAATTGACAAAAGGTACCTTATGTTGGATAGGAAAATTGGTCTTTAAAGCCTAAAAAATCCAACTTCCTGAGCTCCATTTATCATAAAATTACTCCAGAGGATGCAAAAACTTACTGTGTAACTTTTAGAAACAATGGTTGTCTAACAGAGCACTCACAGGTTGATATTTTTCATTATAATGATGAATTTAAAAATCTGCCATAAGGTACCTTTGTCAATTATGGTCACGTTTAGTTATCATTACATTGTCATTATTATTAACACACTTACTAATTAGAGTATGTACGTGACTCTTTTGCCCTAAGGAATTATAATTATAATGGAGGCGTGAGAACCTCAATGCATGCGTTAACAAGCATTTGTTTTATGTGTATTCTTGTGGCTTCAGAGGCACGTCTTCCCTTTCTTCAAAGGCACCACTACACTCAACCTACCAATTATCTTAGAGCCGATCTGTCACCCAGAGGTTTTGTAGTGTGGTTTATAATTGATACTGTACAATTGGCATACATAAATGTGCAGTTTGTGTTCTTAAGGCATTATATAATGAAAAGGCTTCTTTGTATAAGCGGTAGTTCAAAGGTTAGTTTAGCGGCTGTCTTTATGCATATGATTCTTTTATAGGCCACAGTATCCTCCCTTGCTATTTGTTACTATAGGTGACAATGTGAAATCACCATTTATCTCATGATTGAGGTTTCATAGGGCTTTTTTATCTTTGTATTCCTACCGCTTGCTTTTCAAGTCCTTCAATATTTGTTTTATGTGTGCTTTGAAGATTCTGAGATCACTCTACATGCGTGACACTCCTAAATACCTTGTGTAACTATCTTGGGATATACGCTGGCGCCTATGATCTTTGTAATAATAGTACATGTACATGTATGGCTGGATTCTATCGCATTCTTCCTTCACCTCTTCTGGTATCCAGGCAGAGACCTTGTAATATACATGTACGCTGGTCACTACGACCTTTGTAATGATAATAGTACGTGTACTACAGTTAGGCTCTGTTGCATTCTTCCTTTACTTCTTTTGGTATCCAGGCAGATACCTTGCGATATACACGTACATGTATGCTGGTCACTACGACCTTTGTACTAATAATAGTACATGTATATAGACCATATTGCATTCCTGCTTCATTTCTATTGGTATCCAGGCAGATGTCTCTGTTTAACTTGATATTGTGACAGATTTTGATTGTTACGTTATTTGATATTGGAACAGTGTCTTTATCATCATTATTGTATTATGTTTTCTGTCTGTGTTTGTTTTTAAACAGCTAACTACATCTATACTTGCATAATTGTTCTAGTAGCACTTGTCTGACAATTCTAATTTGTATTTATTTTTAGTTCTTGCAATATTGTGTCTGATTAAGTGTAGCCCGTAGTTACATGTACATGTATCTGTAACATGTACCCAATCACATTCGTATGTTTATATGTACATGTATTGTACATTATTTTTGTCTCATATCTATG